TGTAGCTCCATAGACTGATCAATCTTCTCTTCTGCTACGAATCCAAACCTGTCCAATACCAGATTCAGCCTGGATATAGGTATAATACACATTCAGAAGTGAAGACTTGCCACTGACACAGTACTTCATTATATTTGCTTGACTGAGATCTTGGTTTTCTTCTTTTTTTTTTTTTTTTTTTCCTTCCACAAATTAGGGCATCGTGAATGAGAGTCAAGAATTGCAGGTTGTAGATCTGTGTAGGTAAGCATTTTTTGAGCTAAAGAATACTGGGAATCTTAGCCATGTTTAGCGTTTTCTTGTCGGTTGGCCAAATTATTAACCAAAGCTGCAATGCAGAGAAAGAAGCACTAAAGGTAATGTAGGTTCCCCCTTTTGCTTTTTTAGGGCCTGGCCTATGTGGAATATGAAAACGAAGCTCAGGCCTCGCAGGCTGTGCTGAAAATGGATGGCCTGACGGTGAAGGAGCACGTCATCAAGGTGGCGATCAGTAACCCGCCTCTCCGGAAGCTGCCGGACAAGCCTGAGGCTGCCAGGGCCTCGCAATTTGCAGTACCACGGCAGGTTTATGGAGCGTAAGTATTAGTGAGGGAGACTGCTTGGCGAGGGTCAAAAAGAAAACACCGGGTTTGTTTATGTGCTGCGATGTAGGAAGCTGACCTGGAATGTGAGAGAAGGTTTAAAAGTTGCTGAACTGTAAAAATTTGCGTTGCTGGATTGATGAGGAAAAGGAGATTTTCGTTACCAGTAGAAACAGGTCTGTGGTGCCCGAGAGTACCGGGTGTTGGACATCCCCTTGGATCCGATGTCACCACCTGGGCACCAGCAACTTCTGCGTCCCCGTTCTGGAGGACCAGCTATTGCTCACAGCGAGCGTTAGGGTTGCTCGTTCGTCTTTTAGAGTGCTCCTGCTGCTTGGGATCGCGTTGGCCTTGCGCTGTGCGTGCCCTGTAGCTAACCACGGAGCTCCAGTTTCCGGGCCCTGTGTGGTGGTGGTTTTCACCCAGTGTTTAGGTAAGTTGTTTCAAAGGGCACCCGGTGGAAGCATTGCACTGCTTGTTACCGAAACAAAGGACAGGAGTAGTACTGAAATGCGAACAGAGTCCTCTCTAAAACATTCAGAATGTTCAAAGAGCGCTGGGATATTTTTGCATGTCCCTCTCTGTTCTCCAGGCGAGGGAAGGGAAGGACGCAGCTTTCGATGATGCCTCGTGCGTTGCAGCGCCACAGTAATCCCGTGGCTAAGGCTGAGAACGGGGTGGTCCAGAACTCACCAGCAACTTCATCCCAGCCCCCTGAGGAGCCTAAAAAGATGTCCAACGCTGATTTTGCCAAGATGCTACTGAAAAAGTGAGCAAAAAGTCTGCAATCAGCGGGTCTGGTAAAATGTGAAATGCCTTTATGGAAGCCATGTTGTGTCCTTATGCTAGCAAGGAGAGAACGCCAGTCACAATCACGTGTAAATACTGTTCTGGACTGCTGCATTCATCAAGGTCAGTGTAGGATGGTAGAAATCCAGTTTTTTCCTCTGTTTCTAAGAGCAAAGAGTTACACAACGTTCTGGTAAAATGGCGTTATATGATTCCTCATATTGAGGGTAACGAGGGGGGAAATATTTCCTGTACAGGTTGGATGCCACATCATGTTTTATGAATACTTTAAAATATTTCTCCTTCATTAACGAACGAGATGCATTGTGACAGCCTAGTGATCACCTTGTCAGGCTCCACCGGTCGGGTCAGATTGTGACTGCAGTCATTCTCTCTGGCAACGAACCCGTTTTACACCCAAACACACACACACACAGAGGGACATTCATCTCCTTCCCTGAAGAGTGAAATGGCAGATGCTAGTACCTTCACCGCAATGGCCTATTTTAGTACTGGGAGAGTTTCTATACATATGTGTGTATATGTATATACACAAATATACATATATATGTATGCAGTAATGTTCCGTTCAAGTTGAGCTGTTTTTTTATATTGTGTATTTGTAAAAGACATTCAAATTATTATTTTTAAGTGTCATGAGATAATACTTAGCTCTGGTAATTTTGTTTCCCCATGAAAGCTGTACATGCTGTGGCTGAGGACCATTTTTTTTTGTTGTTGTTTTCGCTAGCTAGCTCGTGTGTCTTTTGCAGGTGGTTTCTGTATGGTTTTGTACAAACGTGAAGTGCAAGCTGATGTTTCTTGGTTTATTAAACTCAAGTTCTCAAAGGTTTTTCTATAAATATTGTTGCTTTTGTTTAAATGTGGGTGTTAGAGTTGCACTTACCCTACGGCAGCTAGGTGATACCGATGTACCTCGCCTCTCGGGTGCACTGAGATACACAGTGCCACTTGCATACCTTTAAGTAGCTCGTTCCCACTAGTACAGATATCTGACACCGCTTTGGTAATCACCTCGGACTTTAACATAATCTGGATGATCTTGGATAGAAATGCTACTGCTCGTCTGACAAAACTGCTGCTAACCCTGGGAGCAACACAGGCGGGGCTGGGGGTGAGGGGGGACGCCAGGACCGAGTCCACTTGTACAACACAAGCACTGCTGCCAATAAACACTGTTTTCAGTGCTTGCATTCTGTGCTGATTTGACTTGGCTTGACTTTGAAATGATGGGTCTGCTTCATCGCTTCCAGTCACCGAACAGTGGTGGCCGTGGTGACACGGCGAGGGAGCCAGGTTGGCGGTGCTGGGTGGCAGCGTGGTGTGTGGCCTCTTCAATAACCCCATCAATAACTTTTGGGATTGTATGGCAAGATCGGCTTAGAAACCTCCTAATGCTGCTGTAACAGAGGCTTTGACTTGGGCTGGGAACGCTAAGGCAGGTGTGTGCACAGTGCTAGTGATGGACTAAGTTTCCCTTGGCTGCTGGCGTTGGACCCGCTGCTTCCGCACCCTGCGCAAGGTGCAGTGCAGACGGCTGCGCGCAGCTGATGGGTGCTGTGTACCTTGCTACTCCATGACCTGAGCCGTGACTGCTTCTTAGTTCACTGCAGCAAAGTGTTTTGAGAACAGCCTACTCCAAACAAAGACTTTAATATTAAAAATAGTTTATTAATCTGTTACTAAAATAACATTTTTCTCCCCAGAGCTCTAAAGTGCAGATTTTATTTATTCTCACCTTCCACTACAAAAATAAGCGTGCTTTGCAAGGACAGAACACCCTTCCCCATAGAATCACAGAATAGTAGGGGTTGGAAGGGACCTCTGTGGGTCATCTAGTCCAACCCCCCTG